TGGGGGGAAGGGGAGAAAAGAAAAAGCTATTTGAATATACTCAAGTGTAGCAGACAGGGAAAAAAAAAAAAAGAACTTCAAACAATCTCAAATTCTGTTCCTAATAGGAATCTTTCTGATAGTGATACGGCTCTAGCAATTCTGAAACTGTTTTATGTGGATTATCAGATTTAGCAAATGTATAGATACGTGTTGGAATTGTTGGACACCAGGATTCTCAGTGTGGAAGGCACATATACAAATAGGAAAAGAGGAAGGCAAGTAAGAATCATGTGGAGTTCGACTAGAACTCATGGTATCTAAAATAATGTTTCTTAGTTCTGCCCACTGAAAAGATCTAGAAGCAATGAGCACCAGTAATCATGGACACATCTAGGGCCCATATTTTGTTTTCTAAATACCATCTTCCACTAATACCGAACCAGAAACTCCTTGGAAAAGAACTAATTCCAGGGTTGGACCAGGGCGTCTTTCTAGTTATTAAAAAACAAAAAAAAACAAACAAAAAAACTGAAAATTTCAAAGATGAGTTAAGAAAGGTACAAGATGAGCTAAGGTATCTTACGATGCTAGAAAAGTATTATGTGCTCAAAAAATCAACATCACCCTTTTGATACTGGGGCATATCAGGAACCAGCTTGAAAATGCTCCCACTGACCAAATCTAGGACTGCAGGAACATCAAATTAAGAACAGTAACAAATTCTAATCCACTGACTAGAGAGTTCGTACCAATGACTGTCAGGTAAGAAGACAGGAAGATGGAAGATAGACATCTATGGGCACGAGCAAAAAAAAAAGAAATGTAAGCACTGGGAATTATCAAGCTTATGGTAGCAGATAGGAAATTCCCAAAATTCTAGTTTTTGTTTAGAAGCTTTAATGTTATCATTGGCAACAAATACTACCGATTGTTTTTCCATAAAGTAACAGGCTCGCTTCACTTCTTTTCAAGAAAATACCTGCCAAATACCCTACTTTGAATAAGCAAATTTTGTCTATTAGTCATTCTTTAATAGGGAAATGATATGCTATGAAAAGAGCAGCTAGTTCAGCTCACAACCCAAACAACTGCACAAGTGCTTCACCTTAAGATAACCATCATACTTGATTAGGTAGAAGTGCTCTGGGGGTACCCCCCATTTCATCACACACAATATTAAAAAGATGTGCACCCCAAGGTCAAGCTTCAATAAGATTATTTTACTGTTTCATTATAAGTGAAACTGGCCTTATTTTTTTTTAAAATGTGAATGCAATAGTTAAGATGAATATGGTAACTATACCAATGCACTCTGGTGCAACTGCCTTGATTCAAAACACACCACTGCTTACACACACCAGCATGTAAATGTAACACAGTGGCGGGGGGGGGGGGATATATATACATATATATATGTAACTCAGTGGGGAATAAAGCAAGTAACATTGTAGTATTGTGAAAATAGTTTTCAATTTTGTAGACCTCTGAAAGGGGATGGGACCACCCCCCAAAAGACCTCAAACTATACTCTGAGAAATGATGCACTACAGCATGTTTTACATTATAAATGTATGCTCTGTTTCAATGTTAGGTTATGCTATAAATCATTAAACAACTTCTAAAATGTTTCCTATCACAAAAGAAAACCAGATAGACAACATTATGTATAATTTTTAGATTTTTTACTCTTCCTAAATTTAAACATTATAGAGTTTACTGTTAAATACAAAATACGTAACAAAGACTAAGTTAAATTTCAATAAAGTATTTTCTTCATAGTATAAAGTAAAATATTTAAAAATATTATTTAGGGGCGCCTGGGCGGCTCCACTGGTTAAGAGTTCAACTTGATTTCAGCTCAGATCATGATCTGTCAGGGTCATGAGATCAAGCCCTGCATCAGACTCTGCACTGGGTGTGGAACCTGCTTAAGATTCTCTCTCTCCCTTCTCCCTCTGCTCCCCCCAACCTCCACACGTTATCTCTAAAAATAATTTTAAAAAATAAAATTACTTAACTGTAAACATTCTCCACTGAGAGTACTAACATCTGTTTCAGTCTATATTCATATAACTTTTTTTCAAAGCCACCTTCACATGACTGTAAGATGTGTAGCTTCATAAAGCTGTAGTATCATTCATTGTCATGGTTTTTCAAGATTTATTTATTGGGGGGAAGTGCACACGCACCCCCTCGCACAAGCAGGAGGAGGAGTAAGGATATCAAGCAGTCTCTGTGCCAAGAGCAGAGTCCCACACATGGCACCTGATCTCACCACCCTAAGACTATGACCTGAGCCAAAACCAAGCACCAGATGCATAAACAATCAAGCCACCCAAGGACCCCTGAAAGATTTTTAAGTACACTGTTCAATACCTTTTCCCTGGAGAGGTTTTCCAAACGTGAAGTTAGACCATTTATTTCTTTGTCTTTCTCTGCCAACTGAAGCTGAAAAAAGACATCATTATTAATCTTTTTCATTATCTACTCTTTCCTTACACACCAAGAGTTAGTCTATACCATTCTATCAAAATTCCAATTAACATACCCATGTATTTTTCTTGGTGTATTTCTCTGAAATCTCTAGATTACTTCTCATTATTGACCAACTTCCCTTACTCTTACAACTTCTCCCAGTTTACATAAAATTTCACCCACAATATCATCCCCTCATGCTCTTTTTTGTGTCCACTTCTTCTTCACAATTAGAAATATGAGTGTTCTCCAAGGTTTCTTCTTTGGCTTCTCTCTATATTCCCCCTGAAAACTCCCTTTTTTCTATGCCTTCACAACTATGATCCCCATGGGAATAAATCACAAATATTAACTCACATGGCACACATCTTTCTTTCCCCAAACCTGTCTTTTCAATTGATGGGTGACATGTTTTCATTGTTCTTTCCACACTTTAAGAGCAAAAGGTCCCAAACCTACTTTTCTTACTTTTGTTAACGGATATTACCAATCTCAGAGCCCACTGTGACTGAAGCAAGGAAGCTTTGTTACACTTCCTCCTTCTCTTCTTCCTCCACTCCCCAACACTTTCAGTCTCTTTAGTCATTCATTCACTTAACAATCACATTATGAATACAAACACAAACTTATTTTTCAATTATTTCATGTCCTATTCGATAATAAGTGTCAGGGAAGGTACCCAAGGGGGTGGTCTTTACTACCAAGTAATTCTGAGAATACTTCTAATTTTCTCACCTTCAAACACCCTTCCCACCTGTAAATCCTCTCAGGGTTACCAAATTGTTTTCAAAAAGACCTACTATAGTTGGGTCCCTTTACTCCTAGGAAATTCTTAATAGCAAATAGCATTCCAATTCCATTTTAGGCCCCCCAAAATGTGGCTTTAATCTATCTTTAAAGTCCAATCTATACCACCACAGACATTAAAGTCCTATTACTCAAGACTGCTCAAAATTTCCAGGCTGTGCTCTCCACTTTTCACCTCCAAACCTATATAAATGCTTTTCAATCTGCTTAGAATGATGCTTCTTTCTTTTCCCAGCTCTGCTTCTCCCCTCCAGTTTGGTCTTTCAAAGGTCGGGTTTCTCCATGCTTAACTCCTAAATATTCCACTGGAAACAGCCCTAAGGTACTTCATTAATTAGACTTATCATTCATGTAGAACTTCATCCCATTTTGCCTTGTCTAGTGCGTATCTGTGTCTAAACAGTACAAAATAAGGGAAAGGGCACTAAACAAAAAGCTAAGCATCTTTACCAGCTGCATAATCTATAATGCTGTTTAATTCAGATGCTCACTTTTATCATGAACTAAATGAACTAAAAACATTTAGCTTCCCACAGGTTTGACAGATGACAGTACCTGAGTCTTGAATGTCAGAGTTGTGAATATCACCATTATACTTCTAAGCAGTCCCTATTAGATTATAAACTCCTTAAACATACATAGCATTGTGCCTTACTTGTATGATCACCCACATAATAGCTAACATAGTGTGTGCTCACTAGCTCTCTCTCTATATATATACAGGCTTTAATTTTACTAAATTACTTTTTCGAGTCAATATGCAAAGATAAAAGCTCATATAAATTCAGTATTCACACTTTATAAATAGTAAGGGAATCTGCCAGCCATTGAAAACAATATCCACAGGGATCTCAGAAACAATAATAATCTCATGAATTAGAAGTCTGAAATTTTCATTCTGACAGTAGATGAAGATAAAAAGAACTACCAGTAAATTACCTATAATGTGCCACCTTCTCCAGGCCCCAGGGGGAAACCTAAATTCTTGGTGTCTTTAAGAACACCACATTTAAAAATTAGATTGTAAGTATAATTAGCTATAATATAGCAAAGTTAAATCATTTAGAACTTCCTGGTCTCTAGTCACACACACAATATGCAAGTTATATGTAAGATCTCAAAATTTTGAGATTATACTTTATTCCTTAAAGTGAAAAGATCTTCCTACTAATTAGCTAAACAGCCTGCTAATCTTTAACAGTCTTACAAATATCATTTACCATTTGGGCTTATTTGTTGCCTAATGTTACATTGGCAAAAAATAATTTTAATTAAGATTGTATTACTTTGCAGTATTTTTCAGGATCACAAGTAAAACATTTTGGTGATTCATTTAATAGCTTACATAAATTTTAAAATTACTGATCATGTAGTATTATGCTCCCACAAAAACGTAAAGGCCCTAAAATAATTTTACATACACATTCATGTTTGTTTCTAAGTGAATAGGACAATGAAATGATCACTTTTCATCTTAGAAACTAAGCATGATTTAAAAATAAAATTTTAATTAGCCAACTAAGTGCACAGAATTAAAGCCACAATGGCAACGCATGTATTTTCTCAGTTCATAGTTAATTAACTACATTCAACTAAATATGTAGTACATATTTATACACAAAAATACAATTCCAATTATCTATTAAAACTGCCCGTTAGATTGGTAAAAATTACAGCTAACTTATTTGCAAAAGTACCAGGTACTATGCCTCAAACGATACATATACCGAACTTACTCTGTAATTATCCTCTACTTCAGCTAGTGCTAGTTTTACATTTTCAGCAATCTTCACTTGTTCTTTCCATTTCAGTTCCATTTTTGCAAGTTCGTCAGCATACTTATTGCATTTTGTTTTCTCATCCTAAATGAAATTAGCATAATTACACCAAAAGATTTTAAATTCAGAAAGAGCTAATATCTATATAAACCTATTTAGATATTTGCTGAATGTTTCATTATAACATTGTTTTAACAGTATAAACACTGAAATTACCAAATGTAAAAAAAAGAAAAGAAAAGAAAAATGTCAGTGGAAGATAGGACAAATCATTTTATTTAAGATTTTATTTATTTGACAGAGAGAGAGACAGACAGCAAGAGAGGGAACACAAGCAGGGGGAGTGGGAGAGTGGAGAAGCAGGTTTCCCGCCGAGGAGGGAGCCCGATACGGGGCTCGATCCCAGGACTCTGGGATCATGACATGAGCCGAAGGCAGATGCTTAACGACTGAGCCACCCAGGTGCCCCGGGACAAAACATTTTAAATCCCTACAATGGAATAGTACATATTTACAAGAACAAAGATCTACAAATTAACAAGTAAAAACGTCAAGATACATTAATTGAAAATAGTATGCTGCAAAAAACAGTACAGTATAATGTTATTTTTAAAAGTTAACACAATTTTGTACGATCTTTATATAGTGCTATGTAGAAAAATATGAAGTATTGGGCGCCTGGGTGGCTCAGTTGGTTAAGCGACTGCCTTCAGCTCAGGTCACGATCCTGGAGTCCTAGGATCGAGTCCTGCATCAGACTCCCCGCTTGGTGGGGAGTCTGCTTCTCCCTCTGACCCTCCCTTCTCTCATGCTCTGTCTCATTCTTTCTCTCTCAAATAAATAAAATCTTTAAAAAAAGAAAATATGAAGTATTAATAGCTCTTATCTCTTGGAATCAGGATCATGATGGTACCTTTTACCATCTTTATTCTTTATTTTTATAATGCCATAAGATTTCGCAATAAGCATATGTTACTTCTACAAAGGGAGGTAATAAAAACTATATGATTATAATGACAACTGTTTCCAGACATTGGGATTTCCTGACCAAGATAATCGCTAGGTTGACTTCTTATACATTGCTCCTTCTCTACAACCCAGAATGTTGAAAGGAGTTACAAATCATGACAAAAGGGTAAATTGGGCAATTTCGTTTTGAATGTCTTATATTCAAGGTAAAAGTTTAAAAATACGCTTTAAGCAACTCAACTGAGGAAAAGTCTTAAATAAGGCTAGATCAACCTAATATCCATTACGATATATACCATACCTCACACCATACACAAAAATGAAAATAGACCTAAATGTGAAACCTAAGACTATAAAACTTACAGAAGATAGGAGAAAATCTTTACAAGTTGGATTCTTAGAACAGAATGGAGCCTGCTTAAGATTCTCTCTCCTCCTTCCTCTGCTCCCCTACTCTCTTCTCAAATATATGAATAAATCTTTTTAAAAAGCACAAAACATAAAAGAGCAAATTGGTAAACCTGTACTTAATCAAAACTGAAAATTTTTCTAAAAACACCATTAAAGAAATGAAAAAGGCAAGTCACAGACTGGGAGAAAATATCCACACATATCACACAAATGACTTGTATCCAGAATAAAGAACACATACAACTCAGTAGTAAGAAGAAGAACTCAATTTTTAAAATAGCAAAAGATCTGAACTCTCCCAATAAAAAGGAATGAACTACCAATATAAGCAACATGGATAAATCTCAAATTAATTATGCTGAAAGAGGACCAAAAAAGAGAGTATAAACCATATGACTGGATTTATGTGAACTGTACAAAAAGTAGGCTAACCTACAGAGGCAGAAAGCAAGCCAATAGTTTCCTAGGGATGGGGATAGAGGGAGAAATGAGCTGCAAATGGGTAAAAGCTTTGGCAGGTAATGGAAATGTTATCTGGACACAGTTTCACGACTATATACATGGCAAAACTGATCAAACTGCAGACTTCAAATATCATAAGCAGTTTACTAGATTTCAGCAAATATATGCAGTTTACTGCAACTTCAACACAGTGGGGGGGGGGAACGCCTTGAGGAAATTTTTAGCTTAAGCACATTCTATCTTTCTGTCAATTATACTATATAATGACATTTAAAAAAATATCCATCTAGAATTGTTTCAGACTTAATGAAAAAAGTTTAGTCCCTTATAAACAACTGCTTTGAACTCAAGGGTAAAACTGTTCTAATAAATCAATCCTACAGAAGGAAGGATCCTCTGAAGCAACGAAAGATTTGGGGCGCCTGTGTGGCTCAGTTGGTTAAGCGTCTGCCTTGGGCTCAGGTCATGATCTCAGGGTCCTGGGATGGAGCCCTGTGGGCTCCCTGCTCAGCAGGGAGCCTGCTTCTCCCTCTTCCCTTCCCCAGCTCATGCTCTCTCTTGCGATCTCTCTCAAATAAAATCTTTTAAAATAAAATAATAAAGTTTAAAAGATTAAATATTAAAAAAATAAAAATAAAAAAATAAAAGACTAAATATTTAAAGGGCAGTGACAAAATGTTTTAAATCAATTACTACAGTAACACCGAACTAATGTATGACTTCATCATTCTATAGTTCTAAATATCCTTCCCCTCTCTACATGCATGGAGAAACATACACCAAAAAATTAACAAAAATCATACACACAAACACAAAACACCTTTGCCTCCCTTCTCCAAATCAGGTATAAATGAGAAGCATTTTCCCTTTGTCCTTTAAATATTCCAGGACTGAACCCTATACCAAGACAGTTGCAAAACTGAAACGTATGAAGAATACAGTTTAAAATAGTCAAAATAAGTAACATCATAAAGGCAATAGCTCATTTGATTAACATTCTCTTTTTCCACTTTGTAAATTTGGTTACTTTAAGATGTGGTAAAATTCTTTGCTATTATTACAGTTAATGTAAAAAAATTACTTCCTTTTTATGAAGTTCCAAGTTCAAGGATACATTTTCAATGTATCCTTATAATAAGCAGACAAAAATAACCAACCTCAATTAATCACTTGCCCATTATCAAGAAAGGACAATAGAAAATTTTAGGATCATGATTTTACACACAGGCCTACATGAGCAGGTACACAGAACTCCCTTTCATCATCTCAAAAGTGAAACTAAGGGGGCACCAGGGTGGCTAAGTTGGTTAAGAGGCAGCCTTCAGCTCAGGTCATGATCCCAGGGTCCTGGGATTGAGCCCTGCATCCCGCACCCTGCTTAGCAGGGAGCCTGCTTCTCCCTCTCCCTGCAGCTCCCCCTGCTTGTGTTCTGTGTCAAATAAAATCTTTTTTAAAAAAAAGTGAAACTAAGTAAATGGGTATTAAAAAAAAAAAAAAGCAAAAACATAACCCCAGGATTTAAAAAAAAAAATCCAAAGGTAAGCTAAGCCATTATATCTAATAAATCTTTCATTTATAAGAAAGCTATCTTACCTGCAAGAGTTGTCTACATTTATTGTATTTTTCTGTTTTGTCAGCAATTTCTTTGGTCATTTCACAGACTTGTCCCTTTGTTACCATGTCGGAATCTGTCTCAGCTATTACAAAGCAGAAAATATTATTAAAACTTATTTTGCCCCTTATATTATCTTCCTGTTCAGAATAACTTAAAGGTCAGTAAATGGAATACTAAAGGAGAGAAATATCTATCTGAAATCATCTATTCATACACTAAATAAAGATAACAAACTCTATGTGAGAATTTTTTATGCTAGTTTGGCCAGAAACAAGTTCACATTCAGTCATGAAAAGGATCATTATTTTTAATTAACTAAAAACAGTTCTTAACTGGCACACTTGTTCTCTTCATATAACTGAATAGACAGGGTAAGGAGAAAGCCATACTCTCTGAAAGAACACTTTAAATCATTTTTCTAGTCCTTCATTACTATTCACTAAGTCTTTATTAAATAAATAATTTACACAACACCACTCTAGATAGAGGATGTACAGAAATGTAAGTCAGGATTCTGTTCTACAGTGGCTGAACCTAATTAAATATTTAATAGCATGGGAAATTTACCATTTAAAAAGTCTAAAACAGCAATTACTCCAAACACTACAGAAGGAAATGTATTTTTATATACTCTAGTGCCAACTTTCATTATGTCAAATCTCTAACATAAGGTGAAAAAAAAATTAGGCCAAATGAAAACCTAGAGTTAGTTCAAATTTTCATGTTGTTTATCATTCACTATGTCTTTCTAATCTATAAGGTTAATAAACTAATAAAAATTTAACTTATCTGCCAACAGGTGCACTAACCAGGAAGTACCCTAATGATCCAAAAAAGTCAAAAAAAAAAAAAAAAGTAGCAAAAGATAAAGAAAACCATTAACAGGGGATTTATTTTTCCACCAACAGAACTGTACAATTAAAATTCCATAAATGCTTCAAAATTCCATACATTTAGTGGGATATTAAAGATTCAATCATTGGCTTTTGTCCTATAGCCTAACTGCTGCTATAAGCATATAAGTTTACAAACTCCAGCTCATTTAATACTTGTGAATATTCTCATGAAGATAAATAGTAGGTTCACACATTTTATATATTTCACATGCATGACTTTATTTTTAGACCCCTACTTTATCTTTGCCTTAATCCTCTCACTTATAAGAATTTTTAGAAGCTCCCTTAAATTCGTACACCTGGAACAAGGCAGTGTAAGTAAGTTATCAATACTTGTCAAGGCAGGACACTACATAAAAGGTCTAAAAGGTTTTTACCTGCAGAAGGTGGTGGCTTTACATCTATAGTAGAGGCAGTAGTAGCTGGGTCTGTGTTTATTGAGGCATCATTCACTTTTTGCTGATTCCCAATTTTCTTTGTTAAGACACTGTTGCTATTGGCCTATTCAAAATATTAACAATAAATTATTCAAGGAGTTATATTTCCTTCCTTCAGTTATTGCCATAAAGAAATCCTGAGAAGTCCACAAAGCTGCTATTGTGTCTTAAAGGCCAACAAAAACTAAAGGTAACACACATCACTTTACTAACTGACCTAAATGTTACAAAAGAGAAAAACTTTATTTTGGTTTTCCTTGTCAAATCATCAAACCACCAAGAAAAGACACAAATGTCCTAGGTCATCTACTACAAAGTCATAATATACTTACAGGCCCCAAACCAAAACCCATACATGTGGGTCAAACTCAAAGTATATCTTTTCACAAAAACCTTTTTAGTTTACCACATGCATTTTTGTGAAAATATCTGTAGTGGGCACCTGGGTGGCTCAGTCAGTTAAGCGTCTGCCTTTGGCTCAGGTCATGATCCCAGAGTGCTGGGACTGAGTCCCATGTTGGGCTCCCCGCTTAGTGGGGAATCTACTTCTCCCTCTGCCCCTCCCCCTGCTCATGATCTCTCTAATAAATATCTTCGACCCGAGCCGAAGACAAATGCTTAACTGACTGAGCTACCCAGGTGCCCCTAAATAAAATCTTGAAGAAAAAAAAAAAAATTATCCGTAACACATAGAATAGATAAATTTTGTTTACAAAGAGAACTTTGGATCATTTTCAACGACAGGTTTTAAATGTTTCTTCACTTCCAGCATTCCATTACATAGCAAACCTTATATTAGATACAATTTAAGGACCCACATTAAAATATGCATCAGAACAGAAATAATTTTTTTCATTAAATCTGCTTACCCACTCTCAAATGGAATATAAAACAATTAGCTAACATTAACTCTTCCCAATCTAGTGATTATGAATAGGATGGAAGAACCCAACAATGAAAACTGTGAAAATATCGAAGACTCTGGGGATAATCAATGGTGAATCCCACTGAGGACAGGCATCACTGTCCTAAGAGGGGATTCAATATGTGTATAGAGTTTTTAAGTGATGACATTTATCAAGAATTTAAAGGGAAATCGTCAAGAAAAAAGGAACCTTCCTCCTGTTTTCTTTTTCCCGCTGCTACCCTTGCTTCCTTTGTTGGTTTTCCAGCAAATAAAAACTCCAGATTAAAAAAAAATATGTATCATTACAATATTAGACCAATGATTTTCAAATTAGCAGAGATAAATTATATTCAAAAGGTTGATATTTATAATATTATAAATCTGGGGGCACCTCACTGGCTCAGGTGAAAGAGTATGTGACTCTTGATCTCAGAGTCATGAGTTCAAGCCTCAGGTGGGGTGTACAAAGGTTACTTACATAAATAAAACTTTAGAATAGTATAAATTTGATTCGTTAACAAAAATACTGATAAAGGAAATATTAGGTATGCATTCAAACTGCCCTTACTGATTGGTCTGAAAGTTTGTTTATTTGTTTTTGGAGCCTCTGGCATTCCTTGAATTTTTCTTTATAATGATCTGCTGCCATCTGAAGACGAAGTTTCAAATCTTCCACTTCTCTTCTCAGTTCATGTTCCAGTGTATCAGTCTTTTCCTATGACAAAAATACACACATACTTCCTCTTACAAAAAAAAAAAAGTTAAAAATCTCCTATCTCATAATGTAAAAGTAAATCCCAACTTCATTTTCACTTTTTTCTTTCTGGCTTTTAATTTTTATTTGATTTGGAGTTTTGGCAACAGAGCTACATTAGCTCCTAATAAATCCAGCTTTATATTCTTAGGACTAAGGCTCATTAAAAAACTAGAGAAGAACAATCCACCTCCTGAGGAGTAAGTATTACCCTGTTAAATAACCATAATACCACTTTATGAAGCTAATAAATAAGAAATTCCAAACAAAGCAATATATAACTGACATCAGAAAGTTTAACAATAGAGCAGCTCTTACTAACCATTAGGCATTTACCTACCTAAGTTTTTCTTAAAGCTTACATTAATTTCAACTGAAGAAGTTACAATGACTAAACGAAATGAATGGAAATTTAAATTTCTATGATAAGGAATCTGACCTTATTTTGACATACCTATTCTCTTGTATAAGCTTGTAGTGAGTTTTTGACCAAAATGAAAATTCAAAATTAACCCACTTTACCTGGTCTTTTTTCACAGCATTCAGTTTAAGTTCTGCCACGGCATCAGCTAACTGCTTTTTTACTTTCTCATTTTCCAAGCGTGCAGTATGCAGATCTGCCATTGTTTTATCTCGCACATTTACAGCATCACTAAGTTCTTTAGCCAGAAAGACAACTTCTTGCCGAGTTGCCTGAACCTGTTCCTCTGCTTTACGAAGTTGCTCCTTTAAAGAAAAGGTATCTTCCTGAAGAAAATCAGATAAATACATTTGCAATGAAACCATTAACGTAAAAACAGAAGCAGAAAACAATTTTTAATATTTCAACAGATCCAAAATTTTAAATTAAATATTGCTTTTCTATTCATGACTCAGATGAACTACATAAATCTATAAAAAACTTAAGATATGACTTTGCATTAGAGTCCCCATATAACAACCCAATGCACTTGGTATCTCTACCACATTAAACACGTGTAAAGAGAAGTTCAGAAGTCAAGCAACATGCCCAATATTTAACACCCTGGCTTAAACAGAAATTCAAATGAAAGCTCCTGTCCCCCAAAATCTCTAACATCTGTAACTACTGACCCTCATTTTTTTATGATTACCAATAAAAATTTCAATAACTTCTCTGTATTCCAAAAATTTTGGTTAAAAGAAGTCTATTAACTAACCTAAAACATATCCAACGTAACATTAATATACCATTACGTATCATTATGAAAACAGGACAGGTTTAGAACTTCTAAAAACAAAATACTGGTAACATGCTGCAAGTAACAAAGATGAGGCACTGGGAAAATGAGAAGTAATTAGCACCTCTTAAAAAACCTAAAAGTATCTTTAAAAAGTTAAAATTGCTCTAAGGAAAAAAAAAGAGAGGGGTCCCTGGGTGGCTCAGTCGGTTAAGCCTCTGCCTTTGGCTCAGGTCATGATCCTGGGGTCGTGGGCTCCCTGCTCGGTGGGGTGTCTGCTTCTCCCTCTCCCTCTCTCTCCCAATAAAATCTTAAAAAAAAAAAAAAAAAAAGTTAAAATTGCCATGATAAAATTATTTCCTTTAATATTAGGAGCCCAACAAAATCCAGTTTATTCAACTTTCCTATTTTTACCTCTGTACTAAAAATAACAAACTCAGAAAAAGTGCAACCCATTCCTGGTCTTTAAACTGTTAGCTCCTGGGGCACCTGGTGGGCTCAGTTGGTGGAGCATGTGGTTCGATTCTCAGGGTCGTGAGCTCAAGCCCCACGTTGGGCATGGAGCCTACTTAAAAAATAATAATAAAAAACTGTTAGCTCCTTAGAAGGAAATAAATGATTATGCAATATTGAGGTGGAGAAAATCTTTGTAGATATAACATTATTAGATCTAACTACGTAAATATCATCAGCTTCTCTAGGTCAAAAGGGAAAAAAGAGACAACCAGAGGAAACTGTTTGGACTATATTTTTTAAAAAGGTACAAAAATACTCTGATATAAATATATTTTCTGGTAAGAAACTCTCCAAACCAAATAACAAAAAAATTGGAGAAATGGCATGACCATGAATTTTTTTGAAAGAAAGAAATGGCCATTATGCATATAAAAATATATTCAACTCATTCATCAAAGAAGTTAAAATAAATACCATTTTCTTTCAACTGACAGATTCAAAAACAGGAATACTCCAATACTTGGATGACTTTACGGAAATTAGCACATTTATAAACAGGTGGACTATGTACCTGTAAGTAGTATAAAGTTTCTCATCAGATTTTTGCAACATGCACAACCTTTAAAAAGCACATACTTTTGATCTAGCAATTTTATTTTTATGAGTTTCTAAGAAAATTTAGTTTTTCAGGGATTCAGTACAATTATTAAAATGAAAAATTATTAAAAGTAGAAAATATGTAATATGAGAATTTATTATAAATTCTGCAATATATCCTTCATACAATGAAAGTCTGTGCTGCCATTACAAACAGGAGTATATACAATGTTGGGGTATTTTTTTTTTCTAAGATTTTATTTATTTGACAGAGAGAGAAGAGGGAACACAAGCAGGGGGAATGGGACAGGGAGACAGGCTTCTCGCTGAGCAGGGAGCCCTATGCGGGGCTTGATCCCAGAACCCTGGGATCATGACCTGAGCTGAAGGCAGATGCTTAATGACTGAGCCACCCAGGCGCCCCTGGGGTATTTGTTTGAAAAGCAATCTGAAAATAACTATGAAATTTATTCTGGTATGTACATGTGCCTACATATCTGTACAAGGTTTACTGCAGTATGCTTATAAAAGCTAAGGACTATACACAACTAAAAACAATTGCATACTACACAGCTATTAAATAAAACAAGGGATACTATGCAGCTGTTACAGTCAATGAGGAAGATCTTTATGGGTTCTCATACCCATATAGAATATCCAGACATTCTACAAAATTCTTAAAAGGTTTTGGAACATTACACATACATTCTCAGTTTTTATAAAAATGTAAATTCTGTATGTAAATTCTAGATTTCTAGAAAAATTAAAAATTCTATAAGACATATGTAGGAAAGGATGAGGGTTACTTTTACTCTGTACCCTTACTTATTATTTGAATTATGTTATAACCAAGACCTTGTACTGCTTTAAAAAAAAATTTTTTTTTAAGTTTTAATAATTAATGGGGCCCCTGGCTGATTCAGTAGGTAGAGCATGTGACTCTTGATCTTGGGGTCATGAGCTGAAGCCCCAGATTGGGCAGAGAATTTAAAAAAAAAAGTTAATTAAGAGTCCATTTTCCCAGGTATTTCTATACCTGTGGTTTTCCTTACAGAGGTCTTACTTATGTAGAAAAAAGATGCCTGGAGAAAATTTTAGCATCTTAATAAATCAAAAATACATTTCACCTTGTGTTTGCAATGTGCTGTATTAAATACCCTGAAGAGTAACTTGGGTGTTAATCATTCATTCTAAATGTGATGCACATCTGACATCTTAGGTGTTATAGTAATTACATCTAAGTGTATTTAACAGCAAACTACTGCAAATAACATAATATTCATCCACAAGAGTTAAGAAATAAGGTAAATTTGGGCGCCTGGGTGGCTCAGTTGGTTAAGCGACTGCCTTCGGCTCGGGTCATGATCCCGGAGTCCCGGGATCGAGTCCCACATCGGGCTCCCTGCTGAGCAGGGAGTCTGCTTCTCCCTCTGAACCTCTTCCCTCTCATGCTCTCATTCTCTCTCACTCTCAAATCTCTATCTCTCATTCTCTCTCTCTCAAATAAATAAATAAAATCTTAAAAAAAAAAAAAAATAAGGTAAATCTGCCCAATGTACCACTTAAAAAAAAAAGTTCGAAGATCTCCATGAACTGATGTGGAGTAATTTCTTTCGGTTTATAATGTTCAATTTTAAAACAGGTGGAAAAAGTATATATAGCCTGCCACCTTTTTTTTTTTTTTTAAGAAAGAAGGGAATATGGAGGGATGGGGTAACTGGATGATGGACATTAAGGAGGGCATGTGATGTAATGAGCACTGGATGTTATATAAGACTGATGAAGCACAGGCCTATACCTCTGAAACCAGTGTAATACATTATATGTTAATCAACTGAATTTAAATAAAAAAATGTTTAAAAACTGAAAAAGAAAAAAGGGAATAGAGAAGAGTGCCTGCATATGCACGTTTATTTTTGCAGAAAGAACAGGAGGATAAACTGGAAACTAATGAAAATGTTTACATATGGGTATAAGAAAGGTCTTTTTAGGAAAGAGACATCACAGTAAATTTTATAAGTATTTTCACTTTTGAAGGATACAACTATTTAACACACTCAAAACACAAAATTCAAAAGATTAAGAGAATAAAAACTACTCTGAATCAAATGCAAATAAAAATGTAGACTGTATAAAAATTCATTCCCATAAATATGGTAAAAAGTTTATTCAATTAACTTTTGAACACAGTACTATGTACATCCTTACTGAAATAAATTCTAAGAAAAACGCTTGAAAAGACTTAATTTTATTTAGTAGACACACTGTTGGGAGTGGCACTGATGTAACACTTCTGAAACTATTGGTGTTATTTTTGAACACAGTGCTATGTATATCCTTACTAAGTTCTAAGAAAAAAGTTTGAAAAGAACTTTATTTTTTTTAAAGATTTCTTTATTTGACAGAGAGAGACACAGTGAGAGAGGGAATACAAGCACAGGGAGCGGGAAAGGGAGAAGCAGGCTTCTCGCTGAGCAGGGAGCCCGATGCAGGGCTCGATCCCAGGACCCTGGGATCATGACCTGAGCCGAAGGCAGACACTTAACGACTGAGCCACCCAGGCTCCGCAAGAACTTTATTTAGTAGACACACTGTTGGGAGTGGCACTGATGTAACACTTCTGAAACTACTGGTGTGTATAACAGTAATGTGTAAATGTATTCATTTACATGAATAAATATAACATTTTGGAAACAAGGGCTCTCACACTGAGAGAAGAGATAAATATGGAATGGAGGAAGGTAAGGAAGAACTCTAAGGTACTGGATCTGATTTGAAGGTAACTATATAAAGACTTTAAAAGTTTGTCCAATGGAAGTACAAAGAAGCAGTGACCCCTAGTAGCAACAGGATCCAATATAAAAATATCAAAATTCCATTTGGTTTCAAAATACCATTCCCCGCTGAAAAACAAACAGGGCTCCTTAGAGAAATGCCTAGTACCAGGTCTGGGGCAGAACCTAAAACTCTAATATACAGTTGTTTCACAAAGCTAAGTATTCAAAACATTTATGGAACATATGAAAAAGACACAGGGGCAACTGGGTGGCTCGGTCAGTTAAGTGCCCGACTCTTGGTTTCGGCTCAGGTCATGATCTCAGGGTCCTAAGATCAAGCCCCACATCAGGTCCTGTGCTCAACATGGAGTCTGCCTGAGATTCTCTCCCTCTTCCTCTGCCACTCCCCCTGCTAGTGCGTGTGCACGATCTAAACTAAATAAATAAAATCTTGGAGGGAAAAAAAAGGCAGGTCTGGAAAAACTCCCCCTGGCTAAGTATGAGACAATTTGGGTATGAAAAAGAATGATGATGTACGATATACTGAACAAAAAAGAATCCCTAAGTCCATAGGGATATGAAAAAAGGGGAGAGGGCAGCAGAGAACCTCATTATAAAAGAATACCTACTAATAAACGTACAAGAAATAAAAATTTTTTAAATCACCATTTTGTAGTCATTAATAACCGATGCAGGTGAGGATCATCAAAGGATAAAAAAACCACTGGGTGAAAGGCTATTGGGGAATAGGATGTTCACATGATCTCGAAGTATTATCCTACATATTACTCAATCACAAAGAGAGGAAAAAGCACCAATATCATGGTTTCAGGCAGACATAACTTTAAACAAATGATTAAACCTAACATCAGGAACGGAACTGACATTATGTGACTTCTTTTTTTCATTATGTGACTTTTGATAACACTGCAACAGAATGTACAAAACATCATCTATGCCTTTTCTTGCCAAAAAATGTTTGACCTGAATCCAGCCATGAGGAAATGATTAGATTACAGACCATTTTCTCAGACAAGGCTGAATTCTTCAAAAATATTAATGTCATAAAAAAGTATAGGGACACTATTCTAGATTAGAGCAGACCAAGAACACAGTAATTTTGTGTCTTTACCCCTCCCTGGGTCAAGAAATTTTAAAGGTTATACAGAAATATATTTGGGACAATTTGAATGTACTAAAGCTGTATATAGGAATGAAATAGTATCTTCTGAATGTTAAATTTCTAATACCTAAATTTCTTAAGTATTAATGGTTTGATGGTTATACAGAATAATGTACCTGTTGATAAGGAGACATGCTAACGTATTTAGGGTGTAATGTCATAATGCCTCCAGGTTTGAACTTTTTCAAAAGAAAAGGTTGGGGAAAGTAAAGACTAAAAATAAAAACCACTATATTGTATACATTTAATAGACACAGGTTTTACAGTCTTCAAATACATATTGCAAAAGTACTTACCTTACTTGAGGTTGTAAGCAAGAAAGCCCTTTGCAGATTTTCCTTTTCAGCCAAACAGAACTGCAGCCTGCCAATCTCTTCTTTGAAATGAGTAATCATGCTTTCTTTGTTCCCATCTAAATTCTTTAAAGTCTGGACCTCTGACACAAGCTTAGTATTTTCTATTTCTGTATTCTTCAGATGTACCTTTAACAGTGGTTGAAAATGTCAAGAATACTCTTAACTCCATAACCTAAGTTACTCAAATTTCAAAATACCATTGTTTATCTCTAACCCAAATATGATCAAGGAACCAGAAGACTTTACTAGACCAGGAGTCAGGAGACCCAAGTTTTATCAAATGACTAGCTAATAAACAGGAACAGAACACAGCCTAATTTTTTTTTTTAATTTTTCACAGAGATTTTATCTAAGGTCTAACAACACTACCTCATCTCTAAAGTCTTCTCCTCTCATTTAATGAATTTAAGTTCTCCTTTAAAACGCAAAACGATCTGGTTCTTTTGGAGGAACAAATTATGTTATAGGTATATTCAGATATAAAGGCATGGCGAAATTCTGGAAAACCGAAGGGGTACATTCAAGAACATCTTAAGCAATTCAGTATTTTGCTTTTGAGAAGTACTGTCATTTACTTCCTATGTGCCTAAAAATATATTTAATTAACCCCACTATATTAATTTTCCCAGGAAGTTAGGCAGCAGTTGCTAATTTGCTCATAACAGATGCACAAATCAAATTCCATAACTGAAATTATAGAGTACAGAAACCTGGTTTCCACTATAAAGAGTATCTTGCTTTGGTTAAGAGTACCAGAGAGAAATGAATTAACATACTTCTTGCACTTGAACCTCAATGTATGAATGCTGAAACACTAATTCCTATTCACAAGGATAAAAAAGGACTCCAGATTCTCTGAGGTGTCACCAGCCAACACCTTCGCAGCATCCCTTTAAAAACACTATCTAGGGGCGCCTGGGTGGCTCAGTTGGTTAAGCGACTGCCTTCGGCTCAGGTCATGATCCCAGGGTCCTGGGATCGAGCCCCGCATCTGGCTCCCTGCTCGGCGGGAGGCCTGCTTCTCCCTCTCCCACTCCCCCTGCTTGTGTTCCCTCTCTGTCTCTCTCTGTCAATTAAATAAATAAAAGAAAATCTTTAAAAAAAAAAGAACTTTAAAAAAAATAAATAAAAAAATAAAAACCCTATCTAATTTTCATAGTCATCAGCTCAAGAAAGTATTTTATCATTTCCTCTAAATTCTTACAGGACAGGGATGGGTCATATGCTCTAACAGGGGCTAGAGGAGAGAGACATAATGAATCTCTCTGGTTATTTATATAAACAATCTGGAAGGGAAAGCCTGTTTCTGAGATACATAACAATATAATATGAGGTCTTGTCATAGTTCAGTCTCCTTGCCATGAAAAAGAAAACAACTCACAAAACAAAAATCTCTAAGGAAGTCTTAACTTCCAACTTTGGGGATACACACATACAAACGAAATACTGTTTAGAACACTGGGAGGTTGGGGAAAAATATATTCAAATGGAAATTCCAATGTCACTTTGATCCCAACTGATAATGCTTATAGAAAACTGGAGATATTATCACACCGTAAAAGAATAAATCCCCAAGACACCTCATTCTTTCCCTTCCTTCCTTGCTGCCCAGTTTTTGCAAAGGACTGGTCATTCAGGTGTAAAGCAGAAACAAAAACTGCAGAAAGTGGGGGGAAAAAAGAAAAGCAAGGCATAAGGAATCATTTAGAGCAGTAAAGGAAAAATGCTCGATTTACCCTAAAATGTGCTTGCTAACCCTCTACAAAACACCAGAAGTCCTATTCTCGTAACAGAAAGAAAAGCAAGGCAGGATGGAAAGATGACACCCTTAGGGATATGTCTTTCTCTTTCCAAAATAATTCATCCTAGTTATCATTCATTACACCTCTCCAGCATCACTGGTTTAACCCTAAGACCTTCCTAAACCCTTCCCAATACTAACTAGAATGCCTCCAGAATTCATTTTATTATTGAATTAGAATCTTATTATCTCCCACTATGCTAACAAAAAAAGCAATATGGAAAGCAATTATCCTCGGAGAAATAATGTTCAGGTCTTTTCCTGGCAACAAAACTGAAATATTCTCACTGAAATTCATTGTTAACATTGAGTAAAAAATTGTTAGAGATGCCAATTTTCACTTAGTTAAAAAAAAATGCTTTATAACTTTAAAAAAACTGCATTTGGAGGTAGTCTGCAAAAAACACTGTATCAATAGTAATCCAATTGCATCAATTTCTCTAGATATCTCTATTATTTCCCTTTTTCACAAAATCTTCTTCAAAAACCAAACATTATTTTGGGGCATATTTTCTTAAAGGGTTAAATCATTAAATCATCCATCCACCAGAGCAGGACACCTGGGTGGCTCAGTCAGTTAAGCATCTGCCTCTGGCTCAGGTCATGATCCCAGGGTCCTGGGATTGAGTCGCGCAATGGGCTCCTTGCTCAGAGGGGAGCCTGCTTCTCCCTCTGCTTGTGCGCTGACAAATAAAATCGTAAAAAAAAAAAAAAAAATCATCCACCAGTGAATCATCACTACTTTTCTTTCTGTTTTGGGAGTGACACGCATGCATGCACACCCCCCTGGGGATAAGCTATTCAAGAAATAAAATGGGTATAACCCATGACATGCAAAATGTCCCCATCCATGCTCTCTAAGCTGCATGGTGAATTCAGTATTTTTTTATTTTTATCTTCTAAAAAAAAAAATCCCAAACACCACCAAAAATAAAAAGGAAAAAACCACTGGCAATATAAATCATATTCTAGTTTCTACATGCAAATTGTAACTATCAAAATACTGAATATATGCACAGTTGTATGTTTTTATCTCTCATCAAATATATAGCACAATACCAGGTGTGTCGCTCTGTTCTAATCTAATCAAGTGACTGAATCTGTCCAAATAACACTGACTTAACTTGAATGTTCCTGAAATTCATCATCTGGAACTGTCTTCATGAACTGCTATAAGCCACTTAAGATAAATATGTCTCAATTTACATCTACAGCATTATTTGTAATTAAGCTAACCATCCTATTTTAGAATCATTTAAAAAAGAAAAACTTCAAAAAGGTGAAGATTTGTTAAGAGTATCTTGTTTAAAATGACATTCTCTGAAAATTATTCTAAAAGTCAAACTCTAAAACATGATGAGCACTGAAATTAATGCTCTAAGATGTTATTAAAGGGGGGTAACAATTGGTTTTATAAATTCTAATAAACAGATAGGTATCTTGTTACTATTAAACCTCTCTGACTTATTATGTATTACCTGCTAAGTAACTAAAATACCAGCAAGTTCCCTGAAAACTTTTAGGGACTATACACAACGGGGTAGTTTTAAAATAGGTCCCCAAATCCTTTGGTACTTCCTCTCCATAAGAAGTGAAGCCCAATTCCCCTCTCTTTAAGTACTGGCTGGACCCAAGTAACTAGTTTCTAATGAATAAGATAAAGTAGAAGTACCAATGTACAACTTTGGTGACTAGGTCATAAAGTGCACCAGGACTTCCTCCTTGCTCTCTCTTGGATAGCTCGCTCCAAGGGAAACTGGCTGCCATGTTGTGAAAACATTCAAGCAGCCATTGAAGAGGCCACATAGCCTACATAGCAAGAGACTGAAGGGCATCCTGCCATAAGTCATTTGTGTGAGCCACCTTGACAGAAGATCCTCCATCCACTTCCAATCAAGCCTGTAGCTGACTGCAGCCCTTGCCAACAGCCTGAATGCAACTGACCAAGACACCTTGAGTCCGGACCCATGCAGCTAAGCTGCTGCTGCTCCCAAATTCCTGACCACTAAATTTCAGGGTAATTTGTTTCACAGCAATAGATAACAAAGAGAAATGAAAAGAATAAACTACCTTATAAAGTTCCTTCTCATCCTTTTCTGTCTTCAACTGACACTCCAGTTGTTCTCTTTCATATTGTGCCTTCCTGAGTTTATCCTTTAAACTGAATTAAAGTAACATTAATATAGACAAAAAAATTCCAATTAAAACATTTTTGAAACATAGAGGATAGTATCTTTTTAAAACCATCAGAAATACCTGTCTAATTCAGTTTCTTTTTCAATTGCTTTGTGTGTCACTGACACTATATCTTCCTCAAGCTGGAGAGCTTTGGATGTAGCATCATTGTATCTCTTCTTAAACTCTTCATTTTCCGTTTTTAAATTTTGCGATACTTCAACAAGGCCCTTAGAAACAATTTTTGAGAAACAATTTCTAAAACAAATTTGCTTATCTTTAAGAAATCTATGTATTCTTAAATTGTTAATCCCACATTTGTCCCCTCTAAAGTTTATAAACTAAGATTAAAAACTAAACCTGAAACTGAAACATATTCAGTTTTTCATATACCAAATTATTATTTTCCAGACTTCTCACACACCCTGTTAATTTCACAAGCTTCTCCACCAGAGGGCAGGCAACAAAAACGAGAGAAAATTTTTTTTAATTAATCACTTTCATTTTTGACATCTTGCTTTTCAAAGCTACTCTAGTGACAAGTCAGGTTTCATATGATACTACCACAGTTAACACTTTCTCAAAAAAAAAAAATCCTTCTGGCACAGATCATTAGGTGCCACCAATAATTATATCAAAGCACTAAGATATGTGCCTGAAGCAATGTTCGTAATGATCCTGTCACTGTGACTCAGAAGCCTGAACAAATATTCAAAGAACTGAAATGAATATAAAAGTATTTCTATTTAAAACAGAATATTCTACTTTAAACAATTTAAAAGTTTAAAAATATTAACACATCCAAACAATTAATTTATAAGAACTTGATCAAGCTCCTTTCTAAGCCCATTTTATGATCTGTAAAATGAAGATAATAAAGGTTTTTCTCCCTAGTTTATTAAATCATGAGAATCAAATGTAACAGTGCATACGGAGATACTTTGTTATGGAAAACTATACGTCAAAAGAACTGATAAATTAAGACAAAGAGTTGTGTTAAAAAATGATTTTAAGACTTCCCACTAATGGAAGTACCATTCACCTAGGCAGTAACAGAAGCTAAAGGAAATCACCATTCTTACAATTTAAATGTCACAAATGTTATACAGTATTTATAAGCCACTTTGATTTTCATAAAGTAACTCAGCCAAACTTTTTACTTATAGGTGAAACATCACTTTAAAAATACTGCTAGAATATGAAAATTACTATGTTGCATCTACACTTCGTTAAAAAGCCCATCACAATTATGATCAGATACACTCTCTTGGTTTTATTTTTGCTCAAAGCAAATGTTTCCTTACTGAATTTGCAACACTAAAGATTGTTATACAAAACTAAATGCTTTTCTGATTCCAATGACAACACCACAGAAATATGCCCTCTGCTGTAAACTGCTGTCAATATCCAATGACTCTTGCAAATCTGACACATTTTTAAGTTATTTGTCTTGCTGATTTATAAAGATAGCCAGAGAGATTTCTAAATAGTTTTTTTAAATTTTGTATTGTTAGTTTTACCACATGCTCTCTTACTTAGCACTGCAAATAGGCTACAGATTTAATCCAGGTATTTCTTCCTACAAGAAAGACTAGACAGCATAGAGGTAAAAACTAGTTTCTGAATCTGTAATTAATGAAGTTCTATAAAGGGTAAACAGCATTCTAAAAAATGTATAGGGCAAGAACTAAAGAAGATTCATAAGCAACTAAATGCAAAACACGAACTTATTGCTTTGAGTCAGTTAACTCTACAGTGAGTCACTAATTGTAATACAACTTGACAGTCTTAGAATCTCTTCCTGGTACCCATAAAAGCACCTAATAGCGTCTCAGCATCCACACCTATTTTCTAATGGCATGAAAATGCTAGAGATTATTCTTCAGGCCTCTAGTTCTCATGTCTTGGTAAAGCATAGCATCTCCATTTGGCTAAGTTGTTCTTAGCATGAAAATGACATTAAAGTCTGTAGTGTACACATGAACTAAAAATCTTGCTTTAAAAAACTAACTTTTAAAAAAGAATAAAATTTAGAACACAAGCTTTGAAAAACACTTGAAATTTGAGATAAATATTCATTTGGTCAATATTTGCAAATCATGCCCAAAAAATCATAATTCTAATATTAAAGTAAAACTTGAATAGATTAAGTTGGCCATACTGTACATCAAGATAAAAACAATCACAAAAATGGAGGCAAAAAGAGATTAAGAGATTTGGGCATTTCAAATTCATGTAGTGAACTTCTTCCCCTCCTCTCAGGTGAAAGAATCCTTACCATAAGCCACTATTAGCAATTCCTTCAAGTCATAACTCTCAAATACGAACAACCAGAGAAAAAAGTCACTTATCTGTGCGGCTAAACAAGCACTAAAAATATCTAAAGTAACAGAACACACTTACTCTGTTTAAAAAAAGATAAATTTTGATTACAAATACACCTGAAAAAAAAAATTATGGACAACCATTTAGAAAAAAGTATGGTAATCTGGATTCAAATGTATACAGTGGTAAAATTTAGTAAATTAGTACCTAAATACTCTGAACAGCAAATTATTGGCAAAAGAATTATGTCATTAATGGAAACTGTGAGATTTAAAAGATTTTAGAGAGAAAGAGCACAAGCACGTGGGGGGAGGGGCAGAGGAAGAGAGAGAATCTCAAGCAGACTCCACACTAAACTCAAAGCTGGATCTTATGACCCTGAGATTAAGACCTGAGCCAAAATCAAGACTCACACGCTTAACCGACTGAGCAGGGAGGCTGTTCTCCCTGTCCCTCTGCCCTTCCCCATTACCCCTGGTTCATGCTCACTCTCTCTCAAATAAATACAATCTTTGAAAAAAATAAAGAATTTTAGGTTACCTCTACCCCCGACATGGGGCTTGAACTCATGACCCGAGATCAAGAGTTGCATGCTCTACTGCCTGAGCCAGTCAGGCGCCCCAGTTGTGTGATTTTTTTAAGTAACTGTGGATGGTAACCTCTTATCACATATTTGATTTACAAACATTTTCTCCCATTCTGGAATTCACTTTTCATTTTGTTGATAGCTTCCTTTGTAGTGCAGAAGCTTTATAGTTTGATTTAGTCTACTTGTTTATTTTTTGCTTTTGGTGTTAAATCCAAGAAATGGTTAAGACCAATGCCAAGGAGCTTATGCCCCAGGAGTTTCATGGCTTCAAGTCTTAAGTCTTTAATTCATTTTGAGTTGATTTTTGTGTATGGCGTAAGACAGTGGGTCAGTTTCATTCTTTTGCATGTGGCTGTCCAGTTTTCCTAACACCATTTATTGAAGAGACTGTTTTTCCCCATTGTATGTTCTTGGCTCTTTTGTCATAAATTAGTTGACCATGTACGCATGGGTTTATTTCTGGTTTCTTTATTCTGTTCCATACAAAGATTATGAGCTAGTTTAAACTATATAAATATATTTTAAATATATTTTAGAAACAAAGTATTATGAATTTCCTGAAACTATTACTTAGGAAATCAGGTATAAAATGAAAATTGGCCTTAAAGAAATTTATTGATATATACACCTAAGTTATAACGATCACTCCTACAATATTAAAATTAAGTCTCTATGGGGTGCCTGGGTGGCTCAGATGCTTAAGCATCCGACTCGATTTCAGCTCAGGTCATGATCTCAGGGTTGTGAGACTGAGCCCTTCACTGGGCTCCATGCTGGGCGTGGAGCCTCCTTAAGATTCTCTCTCCCTCTATGCCTCCCCACTCCCACTCTAAAAGATAAATATTAAAATATTTTAAAAAATTGGCCTTTGTGTCTTTTTTCCACAATGATAATCAATAAGAAAGAGTTAGAAATTCAATGATATCATAGCTTCAAAATTGGTTTTTGGCAACTCCATATATTAGGAGACATACACACACACACAAGCACCTGAGGCAATTCCATATATTAAGCAGTCTAAATGTCTTAAACCCCCTCTGTCCAAAATTGGATATCCAATACAGTGATAAATACAGCTTTACAGAAGAGAAAGCCAAAAATATTAAGACAGCAGAAGAGATCTGCACTAGCCAGAGCCACCATAATGAGAAATCTTTCATGTTGTTCTCTCCTATACCTGTGATAACTCCCAAACGGCTGGTAGAATCTCAAGATACCCTACCTAGTTTATAACATGCTCCTTATATTGTTTAAGCAATACTGTTTTAGTATTTGCAAAGATAATTTAGTTTAAAAATACCTTGAGGGTGCCTGGGTGGCTTAGTCAGTTAAGCATCTGCCTTCAGCTCAAGTCACGATCCCAGAGTCCTGGGATCGAGTCCCATGTTGGGCTCCCTGCTCAGCAGGGACTCTGCTACTCCCTCTCCCCCTGGCCCCGCTCCTGTTCTCTCTCACTCACTCTCAAATAAAATCTTAAAAAAACCTTGAAGTACATCTTATATTAACATTCAAGTTAAGAATATAATTTATTCTTTTTTTTTTAAGATTTTATTTGACAGAGAGAGGGAGAGCGGCAGGCAGAGGGAGAAGCAGGCTCCCCGCTGAGCAGGAAGCCTGATGCAGGGCTGGATCCCAGGACCCTGACCTGAGCCAAAGGCAGACACTTAACAGACTGAGCCACCCAGGCACCCAAGAATACAATTTATTTTATGGAAAAAAACTCAATTCGTAGTTCAGGCTCCAAAAACTTATACACTAAACTATAAAACTTAACAAGGTGACAGTTCATTTTAGTCCTATTTGAAAAATAAGACTCAGTATCACTGGTTCCCTGAGCCTCAATTTTTAATCTTCTAATTTTCAAATACATATCTAGCACTCCAAAATGGAAACAAGAACACAATGAATATACCTACAAACTACTAATCTTATGTCTGAAAAATGTAGAGTTAGGGTTAAAAAAAAAAACTAACCAATACACTGGAATATCATTTGACAATAAAATGAATAAAGTACTGATGCATATTACACCATGGATGAGCCCTGGAAACATCATGCTAAGTGAAAGAAGCAGGTCACAAAGGCCATACATGATTCCATTTGTATGCAATACCCAAAATATACAAATCCATAGAGATGGAAATTTAGCTTAGTGGTTGCCTAGGACTGAGGGGGAAGGAAATGGAGAATGACCACTAACAGGTACAGGTTTCTTCTGGAGTGATGACTATGTTCTAAAATTAGGTTATGGTAATGGATGCACAATTCTGTAAATATTAATAAGAACCACTAAGTTGTACATCATAAAGTGCTGGACATTATACGTAAATTATAAATTAGATCTCAATAAAGCTATTTTTAAAAAAGATCAATTAGATAAGTTCATATCTTTAGTCACTATAGGCAGAAGTAGAGTGTCATTAAGAGCACTGAAGGAGCCAGACTGCCTACCTCTACCACTTTACAAACTGTACGACCATAGGTTTGTTAAGTAACCCCTCTGTGCTACCTTTGTAAAATGTGTATTTGACAATGCCTACTTTATAGAAGTAAATGAGTTAACATATGTAAACACTCAGAACAGCACCTGGCTTACATTAAGTATTACATGGGTTTTTATTAATCAGCCTTTTATAATAGAGAAAAAAACACACTTAAAATTGAACTAGAAATGAAGGTAAAAATTATCCTAACACAAAATTTACTTTTTTAAATCTAGGGTATACGTGAATAATGGAACAAACACATCACATTAAAATACAGGCAAAATACAGTATGTATTTTATAGTTCTCAATTTATAGATGTTATTTGGTTTCAGTTTTAATCTACTTTGTAATCCTACTTAATTCCTTCAAGCAAACAATTAAACATAACCCAGAATATACTTAAGCATAACACTTAAACCAATCTGTTTTTGATAACTCTAACACACCCAATTCTTTTAATTTTCAAAATAGTGTTCTCTCTAGTGGCATTTTACAATAAAAAGTCAATATTTATAAAAGATGAAAGATTTTATTTATAAACTTTATTTATTATAAACATTTAACTTAGTATGTCAAGTACTGAATGGGTAACAAGCTAATCTTATTTTATAAAACAACGAAAACACAATTTCTTCTATCATGAAGAAACTGAAGGCTGCCACAGAATATTCCTAAGTTAACTATCCATTCTAAAATTTTAAGTGAAATTATAGATACATAATAGTTCTTCAGATATTCAGCAGTATATATACCCAGTACCTCAAAGAGAAAAAAAAAAATTACCATATCGAGATTGTTTTTTTTAGAATTCACACTATGGAAGAGATTTAAAACAAGTGCCAAGAAATGTCATGGATTTTATAAGCCACCCAACTAAGACAAGCAAACTGTTCTAGCTGCCCAGATGAAGACTGATTTGGGAGGTGAAAAAAAGAAAATTAAAAAAAAAAAAGCGCCCCATGACTACTAATGAAAAGAACTATTTCTCCTAGCAAGCACATTATTTTATCCCCAGAAATAAGCAATTGCCAACATATAACTAAGACTTTTTTTTTTAACATGTATAAGTATCACTTCTAGGAACTGAGAAAAATGGTATGAATTTCATATTTCAGTTCGATTCTCTAGTTCGTCATTATGAAAACTAGTAAAATAATATTTACTTACATTTAGTGAGGCTCTATTACATAACAAACACCAATCTAGGTCTTTGTTTTTTAAAGATTTTATTAATTTACTTGAGAGAGAACATGCATGTGCTGGGGGGAAGAGCAAAGAGAGAAGGACAAGCCAACTCCATGCTGAGTGTGGAGCCCAACATGGGGCTCCATCCCGAGATCATGACCTAAGCTGAAATCAAAAAGTCTGACACTCAACCGAGTCACCCAGGCACCCCAAGTCTTTTATAAATCACCATTTTCATAGCATAGAATAGCATTTTAAAAACCACTTCCCCATACTTCATCTTCCCAGAGTATAAACCCAACACAAAAATAGCAGGGAAGAAGTCCCCTCCTAAGATTAATGTCTGTCATCAAGATTTATGAGTTGCTGGGGCGCCTGGGTGGCTCAGTCATTAGGCGTCTGCCTTCAGCTCAGGTCATGATCCCAGAGTCCTGGTATCGAGCCCCACATCAGGCTCCCTGCTTGGTGGGAAGCCTGCTTCTCCCTCTCCCACTCCCCCTGCTTGTTGTTCCTTCTCTCGCTCTCTGTCAAATAAATAATCTTAAAAAAAAAAAAAATATTTATGAGTTGCCATAAAAACTTCTGCTGTAGACCTCTTCTGGGTACAACAGCCACCATCTCCTACAAATTTTGCTTCACTAATCCCCTGACCTCAATCTACCACTTTCTCAACCTAAATATGTCAGAATTAGCTCTCTTCAGAATGGTCTTATCCATAGTGCTTAACCCTTGTCACCTGGGCAGCAGAGAGTACCTAAGACTTTAAATCTCAGCTAATACTCGACTGGACCAGAGGCATGGCCTCACGTACATGAGTAATTTCACGCAATTGAAGGCCTACCAATTCTGCCATTCCTATTCTTCCAATCATCATTCTTCCCTTGGATTTCAAGGTGATCAGAGTTGAAACCTCAAAGGCCATATTTCAGGGCATTCTTGATCTTACAGGCTAAGTACATGCTGTAATGGGGCCATTTTCATGAGTACTGTCTTCTATCTCACCTCCACCCCTCCACCTTGTAATAGAGTGAAAGAAAAAAGATTGGCATTCCACTCTGGAAAACTGCCAAATCCAGGTACAAATGAGGTAAAAGTGTAAAGAACAGAACAGTGTAATAAGTATACAAAACAGCCAAGGAGTTTCAACAACTGAATAAATCATTTATCTGAATGTCCTAACAATCAAGGTAGGCACATATACTATATTTTAATATTTGATATACCTGCTTATACTACATGATACTCCTACTGCAGGATTCTAAGTATTCCCCCAAGAGGAAAATGGGGAAGTAACTGCATCTTTTAAACTAAAAAGGCTAATGGTAATAAAAACAGATGTTACAGATGTTTATAGGGAGATTTACAATTGTACACATTGCTTCATACTATGTTTACCATCTAACTCAAAAGAGTACTCCTCAAACTGACAAGTCAAGAGAAAATCTTTTCAGAATTTAAGCCCTTATTTATGTAAATTACCTCTGGTCAGGTGTGCAATTTACAACCACCCTGCTGGAATATAAAAATTAGTGAAAATCACTGCACTGCTGGTTCAAGTAACAAGTAACTGCTCTAGGCCTTGTTGGACAAAAGAATGGAACAACAGAAAACAACAGGTTAATTAACAATAGGTTAATCCTGTAAAAAGACCTAAGAATATCTAACTAGTTGTGAGTATGAAACGTATTATCGGAATCTGTGTCAAAACTAACAAATTACTTTTCTTGGGAAACTAACAAGTCAATGACTAGGTGATTGCCTTTAATTGTTTTCACCTACTAAATTAAATCCATTTGTATTTCTAATGAAACTATACTGTTTTATACGTATACTTCTTTATGTGTTTTTTTAGGATAATTTATAGCATTTCTCACATCATGGATTTCAAAATTTTGTCTAATACTACATCTTATTTCAGTGAATTCTGCTTTTTTGAAAGGTAATTTTAACTTTGTTCTATCTTCCCCTTATTCACTATTTATCACTCCTAATTATATTTCCAAACCCTCTCCCCCAAATCAATTATTCTATAATTAGATGGAAAGCATATAGAAACAGCTGTCAGGAACTACCTCATCAAGCCTGGTACCAAATAATCAAAGTATTTTAACCATTTGCAACATAAAAGAAGCTACAGCAGAAAATTGACAGGAACTAACCTATTCTTCTGTAAGTATGTATCTAAATGCCATTTTTTTAAGAACAGTTTTTACTTGCTTTAACTGGTTCAGTTCTTGAAAAAGTGGGTTTCTGACAATATACTATCAATTCCAATCAGTTATATAAAACACAACTAACCTTTTGCTCTGCCTGCAGTTGGTCACATCTTTCTTTCTCATGGTTAAGTTCTCTTTCTAATCTTCCAATTTGTTCTCGAAGTTGTGTTGTTTCTTTTTCCAGAACAGCAATTAACTTTAACAGTTCTTCTTTTTCTTTCATGGTTTTCTCAATCTTCAACTATAAAACAAAAAACTCAAATTGATTTTTCTAGAATCCTAAAATGTTATTCAGTTTTCCATTTCAAAAAAATAGTGAAGAAATTCATAAAAAGAACTCTTACATACAATCTACTTCATGAATTATACATGTAAATAAAAATTCATGAATCATAAATTTAAACCTTCTTTTGGTTGGGCAAAAGAGAACATTAAAACAAGGTATAAAATCAGGGGCACCTCGGTGGCTCAGTCAGTTAAGCATCTGCCTTTGATTCGGGTCATGATCCCAGAAGCCTGGGATGGAGCCCCGCATCCTGTTCCCTACCCAGTGGAGAGTCTGCTTGCCCCTCCCCTGACCTGTGTGTCCCCATGCTCATTCACGCTCTCTCTCTTAAATAAAATCTTTAAAAATAAAAGAAGGTATAAAATCAGTAAATTTTACTATGAAGTTGCCTGCTAATCAATTTTCAAATTAGTAGCAAAACTAAGGCATACTGTTTCATAGTTGACTTAATTCTGGGTTTTTCTTGAATAATATTCAAGATAAAAATGTGTACCTCTTCTTAAATGCAAAGCTATGAGATATCTTTGACTCTATTAAGAACTTCCTTACAGGGGCGCCTGGGTGGCTCAGTCGTTAAGCATTTGCCTTCAGCTCCGGTCATGATCCCACGGTCCCTGCTCCGTGGGAGGCCTGCTTCTGCCTCTCCCACTCCCCCTGCTTGTGTTCCCTCTCTTGCTGTCAAGTAAATAAAATCTTAAAAAAAAAAAAAAAAGAAAAAAAAAAAACGAACTTCCTTACATATTACATAAGGCCTTCATCTATGGCATTACTCTTAAAAGTTCTGCTATTAAGTAGTAACAGTTGCTATATTTATAATGGTCTCTATTTGGCTAAATTAAAACAAACAAAGTAACTGCAAATTTTAGGACAAAAACGCAGACTATAACAATAAATTAACAATGTAATTGATTCTTATGGGAACACTAATAGTAACTCAATTCAGGAAAACCTATACTCCACGATTCTAAAAAATTACTCATTAGAGGACCTAATATAGTAAATAAAATGGTTAACATTTCTCTTAGAATAAAAAGTCTTTGATTTTAACAAAGGAATAATGAAGACTAACTAAGTTAGTTCTCCAGGGTCATGGAATCAAACTGATTAAACTCCAAAATGGGTCTTATGAAAGCTCAGGAGCTGCAAATTTTTATTGACTCTTCTATCTCTTCCATCAAACCAAATGAAAACATTAGGAGTAAAATGCCCTCAAAAATAAACTTTTACACCTTATTTTTTAAAAAACATCTTTTGGCTCTAAACTTTCTGGCAGCTTAAAAGTGAGACTATATCCTGACATAGTACAATAGAAACATTATGAAAGAATCAATTTGTCCCTGTGATTCACTTAACTGACACATACCTTCTGAAGAGTTTACTGAATTTTTTTTTTTAAAGATTTTATTTATTTATTTGACAGAGAGAGACACAGTGAGAGAGGGAACACAAGCAGGGGAAGGGGGAGAGGGAGAGAGAGAAGCAGGCTTCCCACCAAGCAGAGAGCCCAATGTGGGGCTCAAACCCAGGACCCTGGGACCATGACCTGAGCTGAAGGCAGACGCTTAACGACTGAGCCACCCAGGTGCCCCAGGAGTTTACTGAATCTTAAGTAGAAATTTTATTTTTTTAATTTTTTTAAAGATTTTATTTATTAATTGGAGAGAGAGAGAGAGCTAGAGAGCACAAGTGAGGGAGAAGGAGAAGCAGGCTCCCCACAGAGCAGGGGAGCCTGATGCAGGGCTGAATCCCAGGATCCTGGGATCATGACCTGAGCCTAAGGCAGACGCTTAACAACTGAGCCACCCAGGCGCCCCTTAAGTAGAAATTTTTTAAAGGAATTCAAATTAGATAAAAATGTATAGAAGTCTAATCCTGCCTCCAATTTTGTATTTGAAATCTTTCAAGCATTACAAAAGTTAAAATTTTAAATCAACACTCATCACCTAAATTCACTACTAGTATTTCACCATGTTTACTTCATATCCCTTTATCACTTGCTTATGCTTTTTGTGTTTTTTGCTAAACCATCTGAAACTGCACACTTCACCCCTAAGTACTCAGAGCAAGCATCTCCTAAAAAGGAGTCTCCTTTTCAACCACTACCACTATCATAAATAAGAAAATTAACAATAACTTTGTAATATCCAATGGATAGTTCATAGTTATTTATCTCCCACTATCCCCCCAAAATATCTATTTTTTAAATTCTAAGATCCAGTCAAGGTTCACATATCAAGTGAAGGAAAAAAAAAAAAGACATAACCCTTCAATGTCAACAATTGATGAATGGAAATTTAAAAGACTTGTCAAAAAATTGGTCAGAATAAAAATATTTTATCTCAGCCATTTGCACCTAAGAGACAGCAACTTAAATTTTCTTTATAAAGTACCTCTTATGAAAAGGAAGAAGTGAAATAAATTGTATAATGTCCCAATTAACTTAGAAAAGGAATACAGGAAAGATACAGATGCCTAAATGCTTTTTTTTTTTTTTTTTTTTTTGGAGGCCCTGAAATCAGGGTGGTCTAACAAGTATTCAAAAAACTGCAATATAAATGCTAACGGCATTCTTTTTAAGAGCTAGGCTTGTTCCACCATCTTTGACTAGCATTCAAATACCAGGCTAAAAACCTTGATCATCTGGCAGTTGTCACCACAAAATGTTTTAGTCACCCTATAAAAGTTACATTTCTTTATTTAAGATAAGAAAGGAATTTCTGGAAAGGGAAGGGAAGATATAGAAGAATTCACAATAAAAAATGATTGGTTCCTTCTAACCTTCTTAGTTTGACTATCTAATAAAAGTATTATATCTATGACCTTATCTTTTTTCTCGTCTGTTTTTGAAATAAAATATAATCAAAGGCATAAAATATTTACATATAAAAAACATCTATCTGACTATAAAGAAAAAGCAATGACCTGCCAGATTAAATATGAATGTAAATTAACCAAAAATATAGAATGAACCAATTAAATAAGCTGTTTCTCACAGAAATTCAAATGTAACATTCTAGCTTTTTAGGTTTAGATACTGAAATCTTGAAATAAGAATGTTGTTCTACTTTGTCCTTCAATAATTATTAAAACTTAAGACATAAGGCATTATTAGACTATCTATACAGTAAATTTCTATCGGAGCCAATGCAATGCCTCCCAAATAGTCAATTAAAAAAATACAAGAAGCTTTTCACGTTTTCTCTTTAAATTATGATTAACCCACAATACTCATTTGATAAAATGAACAAGGAAATCATTCTAAATGCTCAACCTAAACTCAGACTGGAATCTTCCCTGATTCACTGCCACACTTGGAGTAGAGCATACTTGTGGTACAGTGAAATGAAGTTCACATCCAATTACAGTTAGATTTATTACTTTATACACCATCTTCACAACCCAAATCTGTACTATTCTATAATCAATGGATTAGGCAACCACTAAAGAAGAAAAGTTAGTGTAAGGTAATATTAGGAAAGCTTTAAATCTAACCCAATAGTTATTTACTGCACATCTACTATGCACAAAATACTGATAAGGCCCTAGGGGCAGTCTCTGCACAGTGCAATCAATAACCTGTGACAGGAAGAAATTTAAAACATTTCAAAAACAACACTCTAAGTTCACCATTTTAGTTAAAAACCATTTGAGTCTCAGGTTATTCTTCTGAATTTTTTAAATGCCAACATGAGCTCTGTTCTTAAATTATCTATAAATCATTAGCTCACTGTTGGTACCAACCTCAAGAAGGCCAGCTTTTGTGGTCACCACCAACATATCAGAATTTCCTTCATCTTCCATAGTAAGTAACTCTTCAACTGGAGAAGAAGCTCGAAACTGGAAAGGTGTACTTGCTCCACGAATTTCACCCTTATGGGTAACATAACAGAACTGATAAAATTCTCCATCATCATTTGGAAGGTAATATCCTAAAAGGAAGTTAACAAAAGAAAGTTACTAACTTCCTATTATGAAGTTAATGGCTCCCCGCCCCCCAATTCAACATTACTTGCCATCTCCACTCATTCCTGACCTGTTCTAGGCACACAGAGTTAAGTCTTTCCTCTTATCAAACTAGACTCTCCCTTCTTCTGTAAACATGCCCTAATTTCTCTTAGCTCTAAATTTATCCTCCCTGAATATCCTTTCCCTTTATCTTCACCAGGGCAAAACCAACTTATCTGGGAGAGTCACATATATGTTTTTCTTTCCTTTTTTTTTTTTTTAAGATTTATTTGAGAGAAAGAGAGAGGGAGCGAGCCCATTAGCGAGACGGGGAGAGGAAGAGAGAATCTCAAGCAGATTCCACGCTGAGTGCAGAACCCAACACAGGGCTCAATCCCATGAGCCTGAAACCAAACCGAGCCAAAACCAAGAGTTGGACACCCAACCGAATGTGCCACCTAGGTGCCCCAACATACATGCTTTTCAATGAGAAAAAGACTGGAGGAGGAGCAAGATAAGACCCAGCACAAAATCTAGGAGGATTGCAGGTAGGAATGTCATTTAAAGAAATCTTCCCTCAAATTTGACATTACATGAAACAAAGATATTAACAAAAGGAATACATGGTATGTGAACTGTGTAAAAGAAAGGAGGAAGAAGTCCACCGGTGCAGCAGAATAAAAATAAGCACTGGAACCACACAGCTTTATTCTGGAATTCCAGCTCTACTACTAGCCATTAGCAACTCAACCTCCCTGAGCCCCAGTTTCTTATCTGTAAAAGAGCTATGAAGACATCTATCTCACAGCTCCCAATTATCTATAACGTACTTAAACCATTTAGCCCACTATCTGACGAGTATGTGTTTGATATTTGTTCCTTCTTTCTTCATCTCTTACACTCTTTTAAATTTTGCTAATTATCCTTGCTCAAAATTAAACGTTCCTTCTCTCCAAAGCTCCCACAGTATTTTTTACATTAAAAAAAAACTCCACCTATACTATCAATTATCACTGGTAATATACATGCTTTATATGCTCTATCAAGAACTCAGAAATACTGAGGGCAGATAAATAATAATATGTATAAAAATTCTAGCATCCCCCATAATGACTTGTAAAAAGGAAGCATCCAGTGGCGGTGAAATGAATATATAAAGATCAATACAGGGGCGCCTGGGTGGCTCTGTGGGTTAAGCGTCTGCCTTCAGCGCAAGTCATGATCCCGAAGCCCCGGGATCGAGCCCCAAATTGGGCTCCCTGCTCAGCAGGGAGGCTGCTTCTCCCTCTGCCCCTCCCCCTGCTCATGCACCCTCTTTCACTCTAATAAAATCTTTTAAAAATTTAAAAAAATAAAGATCAATACATTCACCTTATCTTGAATATTCCTACCTATCCAAAAACCTCTCATCAATATGCCTGTTTTTCTTTCATATCTTGAAATTTCCAGCATTATTATGATATCTACTTCACTTGGTATCATTCGTTAAAAAATAGCTAACCTTCTTCCTTAGAAACAGGACGAAGGAGAAAATACAAGATAAGCCTGGAACATCTTGTGGTGCTTGAAAGAAAAAAGTCCTCAAAAAAAAAAAGAATTCAAAGTGGCAAGAGGGTGGAGGGAATGTCAAAAAAATACAGGAGCCTGCCTGATGGAGCTCGCAATGGCCAAAGAAAGCTGGAATAATTTGAGCAACAAAAAAACGGTACTATTAGACTTTATTCCACAGCAAAAAATATCCACGAGTCCATTGGGAAGGAGATGACAACTCCTATCATAATAACTCCAACTAATAAATGTGCAATCAACGAAAATAGAAAATCATCAGGCAAACACAATAAAAATTGTTTTAAGAAAGATCTACTGAAAGATACTAAAATTAGTGGGTGAAAATTGGAGGAAAAACAAGGTATTTCCTTACTCTCTAACTCCCCCGTAAGATTCATTATTTACAAAAGGAAAAATACTAACTTTACAGTAGAAAAACCCAGCAGACACCAAATGATCAAGATTAAGATCACTAGCAATGAGATATGAACATCAAGTACTCCCTGATACAATGCACTATGAAGAGTACAACAGCACTTGTATGGCATTCTTCCTAAAAATGTATAATCTCAATCTAATCATGAAAAAACACCAGCACAAAAAGAGGAACATGCTACTCTCCCTGCCCCCACCCCCGGCCCCAAAACACACTAAACAATAATACCATTCAAAAGGGGCGTGTGGGTGGCTCAGTCGGTTGGGTGTCTGCCTTCAGCTCCCATCCTGGTCTCAGGGTCCTGGGATTGAGACCCACATCCTGCTTCTCCCTCTCTGTCTCTACCTGCCACTCCCCCTGCTTGTGCGCACCCTCTGTCAAACAATCTTTAAATATAATACTACTACTCTTCAAAAAGGTAAAAGTCATGAAAGACAGGGACAGAATGAGGAACTGTCACAAACTGGAGGAGATAAGAAGATAACACAATTAAATGCAAAGTGGGATCCTGGATTGGATCCAGGAACAGAAAAAAGAACACTATTAGAAACAGTAAAATTTGAATAAGGTTACTATAGTCACTCGTAGGAGTGTTAAATGTTAAAATGTGTATTAAATAAAGGTACTATGTAAAATGTTAACATTAAGGGAAGCTGGGTAATGTGTATACAGAAATTCTGTTTACTGTTTTTGCAACTTTACATCCACAAAATTATTTTAAAATACAAAGTTTAAAAAAGTAATACAGGGATGCCTGGGTGGCTCAGTCAGTTAAGCGTCCAACTCTTCATTTCAGCTCAGGTCCTATTTTCAGGGTCGTGAGAGATCAAGCCCCTCATTGGGCTCCACAATGGGTGTGGAGCCTGCTTGGGATTCTCTCTCCCTCTCTCCTCTCCCCCCACCTCCCCCCACTCCTCACGCTCTCTTAAGAAAAAAAAAACAGTAACTTAGGAGATTTGGCAATATATTTTTAAAAGTTTTTAAAAACCCCACCATCCTAATATGTACAAACAAATTTATTAAGCCATGGCTGAGTAACTTAAATGGCCACTAGAATTACTTTAAAAGTTTAAATAGAAAAAATATATATACTCTGACTAATCAGCTCCGGTAGCATGACATTCGAAATTCTATAAACTAGATATTCAAGGTCTGATAAATCTCACAAAAATAACCCACTAATAAATAGTTCAAATCCATTTGAGATACAAGACCTAGTTATTCAGAGTTGCAATTTAAAGCTATCTAGAAAAATCTCTCATTGGATTAATAACACTGAAAATAAAACAGTAAAGCAATCAAATTACAAGGGTCCATATAGAAAAAGAATTATATTTACGAATTTTTGTTAGTTGTTCTGAATTTTGCATTTCAAGATTCTCATGACTCATTCACAAAATAAGCAAAGTGATTTTGGATTATGCTTAAAATCTCTTCTCTATCCTGACCTCTTTATATAACAAATGAGTTCTAGACAGGCAGAAGCTTTTATTTCTGAATTTCAAAGTAAAAATTATCATGATGAATTTTCAAAAACTTGGAAAACTTACTGCCTTTATGCTTAGCTCCCACTGAAAATGTTCTTAAAGTGTAAACAAATCAAATGCTTTTTTTTTTTTCCAAACTGCTTTTAAACTTCTTGGTAAATCACTAGTAAAGTCATTAGTCACTATAACAAACTGAGTAAATTAGTTTAAGAAAATTAATCACATTATAAAAATGCCTGGAAATAAACCCACAATTTTTAAGGAAAAATATCTTGGGGCACCTAGGTGGCTAAGTCAGTTAAGTGTCCTACTTTCGCTCACATCATGATCTCAGGGTCCTGAAATTCTGAGTCAGGCTCCCTACTCAGCAGGGAGTCTGCTTGTCCCTCTCTCTCTGCCCTACCCCATGCTTGTGCATGGGCTCTCTCAAAATCTTAAAAAAAAAAGTCTTAATAACAAAATCAGTTCCAATATACACATTTGAATTTGATTACCTAAAAAGAGGCTATGAGTTAAAAGATAAACCAGATACATAATTTACATCATTTCTTAATCCATAAAACATTATGAGGACCTAAATCTTGGCCTATATTACAGTACAAATTTTATCCTCTGAATGCTTCTTGACATAGTACACAACAAAAATTTTATATGCTAGTTCTACGTGGTCACATTGCCAAATGATTTTCACACCAAACATATACAAACCTCAGAATAAAATTTTTTTGAAAAACCACTAAAATCCAAACAATGCCAACACCAAATACTGACAAAGACGCAGAAGAACAAGAATTCAATGCTGATGGGAATGCCAAATGGTATTATCACTTTGGAAAACAGTTTGGTGGTCTCTTACAAACTAAACATACCACATGATCCAGCAATTGTACTCATTGGTATTTACCCAAATGAGTGGAAAATCTATATCCATATAAAAACCTGTCAAAGTATGTTTACAGCAGCTTTATTCACAACTGACAAAACTTGGAAGCAGCTAAGGTGTCCTTTAATAGACAAATGAACAAACTGTTAGACCCATTCAACAGAGTATTACTGCTTCCTTTGCAGTTCTCTGAATTTTTTTTTTAATTTAAAGATTTGAGAGACAGAGAGAGCACACTCCCATGAGAGAGAGTCTAGAGCACAAGCAGGGGGGAGGGGTAGAGGGAGAAGATTCCCCACTGAGCAGGGAGCCTAATGTGGGACTTAATCCCAGGACCCTTAGACCGTGACCTGAGCCGAAGGCAGACGCTTAACCAACCAAGCCACCCAGGCACCCCTAGAGTTCTCTGCATTTTATGTGCATTACAATATCATACTAAGACAGCATTCATTAGCTTCAACAGACCAAAAAGAATCCCCAGCATAAACAAGGCTAACAATTTGCTTTAATATAATCCAAAAATCAGTGCAATTATAATACAAAGATCACTCTGAGGCAAAGTCTGTGACAGACTTCTAAATCAAGAGTATTCTGTATATAATACCAAGAATAAATTTCATATTATTCCCTTACGTACATTTTATAAGCAACTGCTCTATAAACCGTTAATTATCGTTGTGGTTTTCATATAGAATTATTTTTCTCACTCTAATTTGCTATATTATTCTAATATCAGTAATAGTTTCTCATCTGAAAAAAAATCATCCGAAGATCTAGAAACTCACTCTTCAATGAAAAGAAAAAAAAAAAAACCCTTTTAAATGTCCACAAAAAATATGTATCCTATACTACATTATTTACATTCTTATGACTTTTGCTAAAAATACTAATTTGTCAACTTTGATATGTTGGGCATGCCTAAGTAGACCATTACAATGGAGAACAACATTTTTAATGGCAAGAAAACATCAAATTTCATCAAGTTCTGCAGTTCTCAGTTCTTACCTTGAAATGCTAATACACAATTAACTGTTGATCCTTCTACGTAATGTTCAGGCATAGGAGACCATAAAAATGTGTAATAATCACGAGCAGTACTCCATCCAACCTAAAAGAAAATAACAAAAATACAGAGATTATATTTTAATATTAGAGTGATGTCTTATAGCATATTGTTTTTTACGGCATCCTAAAGTTAAAACATGTGTTACTATGTTTACAAATCATTGAGTATTTTAACAAGCATGTCAAATTTTTATGATTTTTATTAAGCTATATAACCTAATGTTATAAAAATCTATATAAATTGAACAGTAGAGTTTCTATTATGTATTAAAAATGCAAACTGATACCCAATTTCTCAAGAAAAACTTAGCATGCACATGATCAAATATACTTATGCTTCCCTTAAAATTTGATTTCACTAAACATAAGGGTTTTCCTTTTTTTTTTTTTTTTTTTTTAAAGCAGGGCTCGAACTCACGACCCAGACCTAAGCCGAGATCAAGAGGCGTACACTTAACAGCCTGAGCCACCCAGGTGCCCCTTCATTAAACATAAGTTTCTAAAACTTACTATTTTATGTCTCAAATTTCAGTATAATTAGGTTTTCCTCTCTACCTTAAATGTGTTAACGTCACTAATCTCTCTCATGCCACGTCTTACCTGCAGCCAATTGTAAGTTTTATAAAAAGTCCTTTATTACCAAAATATTTATAAATACAAATAAAAAACCTATTTTGCACTATATCTAAAACATTTTCAACTTATAAAATGTATATATTACAGATCTCAGTCTATATTTTCTAGATGGATTATACTGTGTTAAATACTGAATATTAAAGATGTTTTAAAAAGGTACACACAAAACTCATTTTATTGTGCTTCACAGATACTGTTTTACAAAGTGAAGGTTTGGGATAAAAACAAGTCTATCAGCGCAATTTTCCCAATAGCATTTGCTCACCTCATGGCTCTGTATCACATTTTGGTAATTCTCTGAATATTTCAAACTTTTTCATTATCATCTTATTTGTTACGGTGATCTACAACCAGTGATCTTCGACATTACTATTATAATTGTTTTGGAGTATCACAGACCACACCCATATAAGATGATGAACTTAACATACATGTTTTGACTGCTCCATTAACTGGCCATTACCCCATCTTTCTCCCTCTTCTCAGGCCTCCCTATTCCCTGAGACTCAACAATATTGAAATTAGGCCATTTAGGGGCACCTGGGTGGCTCAGTTGGTTAGGCATCTGCCTTTGGCTCAGGTCATGATCCCAGGGTCCTGGGATTGAGCCCCGCATCAGGCTCCCTGCTCAGTGGAGAGCCTGCATCTCCCTCTCCCTCTGTCACTACCCCTGCTTGTGCTCTGTCAAATAATTTTTTTTAATTTTTTAAAAAAAGGGAATTAGGCCATTTATTAAACCTACAGTGGCCTCAAAGTCATCTCAAAGGAAGACAGCTCTCACTCTTAAAATGAAAGCTAGAAATGATTAAGCTTAGTGAGGAAGGCATGTCAAAAGCCAAGACAGGCTGAAAGCTAGGTCTCCTGCACCAAATCATATTAAGAATGCAAGGAAAGGTTCTTTAAGTTCTTAAGCTTTTTTTTTAAATTTATTTGACAGAGAGAGACACAGCAAAAGAAGGAACACAAGCAGGGGGAGCAGCAGGTAGAGGGAGAAGCAGGCTCCCCACCAAGCTGGGAGCCCAATGCAGGGCTCAATCCCAGGACCCTGGGATCATGACCTGAGTCGAAGGCAGATGCTTAACGACTGAGCCACCCAGATTCCCCAAAGGAAAGGTTCTTGAAGAAAATAAAAGTGCTACTCCAGTGAACACATGAATGATAAGAAGCAAACAGCCCTATTGCTGATATGGAGAAAGTTTTAGTGGTCTGAATAGAAAAATCAAACCAGCCACAACACTCTCTCAAACCAAAACCTAATCCAGGACAAGGCCCTATCTTACCTTCAATTCTATTAAGACTGAGAGAAGTGAAGAAGCTACAGAAGTTTGAAGCTAGCAAAGGTTGGTTCATGAGATTTATAGAAAGCATCTCCATAATAAAGAAGTGTAAAGTGAAGCCCCAAATATTAACGTAGAAGCTGCTGTATCAAATTATCAAGATCTAGCTATGATAATGAAGGTGGCTACATTAACAGATTTTCCATATAGATGAAACAGTCTTATGTTGGAAGAAGCCATCTAGGACTTCACAGCTAGAGGGAAAAGTCAAAGCCTGGCTTCAAAGGACAAGCTGACTCTTGCTAAGGGCCAATGCAGCTGGTAATTTTAAGTTGAAACCAGTAATACTTATTTACCCTCTCAAAAATTCGAGGCCCGTTAGGGGCGCCTGGGTGGCTCAGTCGTTAAGCATCTGCCTTCGGCTCAGGTCATGATCCCAGTGTCCTGGGATCGAGCCCTACATCAGGCTCCCTGCTCAGCGGGAAGCCTGCTTCTCCCTCTCCCACTCCCCCTGCTTGTGTTCCCTCTCTCGCTGTGTCTCTCTCTGTCAAATAAATAAATAAAATCTTTAAAAAAAAAAAAATTCGAGGCCCGTTAAAAATTATGCTAAATCTACCCTGCCTGTGCTCTGTAAATGGAACAGAGCCCGTATGATGGCACATCTGTCTACAACAGGATTTACTAAATATTTTAAGCCCACTGTTGAGACCTACCACTCAGAAAGAAAACATGTCTTTCAAAAATCCTACTGCTCATTCACAAAGCAGCTGTTTACTCAAGAGCTCTGATGGAGATATACAACAAGGTTAAGGTTGTTTTCATGCCTGATAATACAATATCCATTCTGCAGCCCACAGATCAAGAGTAATTTAGACTTGCAAGTCTTACTATTTAAGAAATACGTTTTGGGCGCCTGGGTGGCTCAGTCAGTTAAGCATCTGCCTTCGACTCAAGTCAAGATTCCAGGGTCCTGAGATCGAGTCCCACATTGAGCTTCCTGTTCAGCGGGGAGTCTGCTTCTCCCTCTACCCCTCCCCCTGCTTATGATCTCTAATAAATAAATAAAATCTTTAAAAAAAATACATTTTATAAGGCTGTAGCTGCTATAGGTAGTGATTCCTCTGATGGATCTGGACAAGGTAAGCTGAAAACCATCTAGAAAGAATTCACCATTCTAGATGCCATTAAGAACATTCACAATTCATGGGAATAGGTCAAAACATCATCAGCAACAGAAGTTTGGAAGAAGTTGATTTCAACCCTCATGGATGGCTTCCAGGGGTTTAAGACTTCAGTAGAGGAAGTAACTGCATATGTGATAGAAACAGCAAGAGAAATAAAATTAGAAGTGGAACCTGAAGATGTGACTGAATTGTTGCAATCTCATGATAAAACTTAAACAGATGAGGAGTTGCTTCTTACGGATGAGCAAAGGAAGATTCGAGATGGAATCTACTCCTGGTGAAAATGCTGTGAAGAGTGTTGAAATGACACCAAAAGATTTAGATTACAGAAATTTAGTTTACAAAACAGCAGCAGGGTTTGAAAGGACTGACTCCAATTTTGTAAAAAGTTCTACTGTGGATAAAATGCTACGGAAAAATCGTTCATGAAAGGAAGAGTCAATGGAAACGACAAACTTCACTGCTGTCTTACTTTTCTTTCTTTTTTTTTAAGTAAATTCAACCCCAATGTGAGGCAAAAACTCACAACCCCAAGATCAGAAATCACACACTCCACGGACTGAGCCAGACAGACACCCCTTTTGTTGTCTTATTTTAAGAAATTGCCACAACCACCCCAACCTTCAGCAACCACCACCCTGACCAGTCAGCAGCTATCAACCATCAAAGCATCACCAGCAAAAAGATAAATCGCTGAAAGATCAGATGATGGTATTTAATTAAGGTATATGCATTGTTTAAGGCATAATGCTACCGCATGCTTAATAAACTACAATACAGTGTAAACAACTTTATATGCACTGGGAAACCAAAAAATTGTGACTCATTTCACTCTGGTGGTCTGGAACCCAACCCGTAATATCTCCAAGGTATGCCTGTACTAGGTATCCATTTGCAGATAATATAAGAAATTATGAGTCATCCACAGGTTTAGATTATATATACATTCTATAACTCTGATAGACCTAGGATACAGAACACTGAGAGTGCTTTCAAACTGTACGTCACAACCCAGCAGGAAGTGGCAGTATCAATTCAGTGGTGCACAGCCCATTTTTTAATTATACAGAATTAGAAAATATCAATGCATGAAGGCTAAATAATGCTTCTTGAAAATCTGCTTCAGGAGTACTTGCATAGAACTTCTTGCTAGGTCAAACACAGAATTTCTTTCTTTCTGTTTGTCCATTAAAAACATTTGAAAGCATTTGAAAGACACTATTCATCTCTTTATACATGAGAAGCTTGAGGAACCCATGATGTGATCTACCTCACTTAAGGCTGTTATTTTTTCTCGCAGGATCGTTAAAAGAATTATTGCCCTGTAAATTGTGGTAGTGGTACCAGGAATAAAAATTTAAGGAATTTTTAACTTAAAAAAATTAGATGAACAACATAAAAGTAACCACCCAGCAGAGTGCCTGACCTATAGTAAGCACTCCATAAATGCCAGTTTTTGCACGCACAGTATATTATAGTGATTAAGAGCATAGGAAATAAGGTCAGACTGCCAGAAAAGATCACTTACTAGCTATGGCTTCAGACAACTTATTTCTGTTCCCTCCTCTTTAAAATGGAGATGATAATCTCAAAGGGCTATGTAATAAATAAGATAATCCCTCTAAAGAAATCAGCACAGTGCTAAGCATATTAGTATTCATTAAATGCTACCTACCATTCATTAATACCCAAGGACACACAGCCTTAAGGGACAGTGATATTGATTCTATGATATTCTCTCCCTCACTTCAGATCCCCCAATGCTTCACTGTCTCCTTAAAAAAAAAAACAAACCCCATCTGAAGTTTTTCCCCCAACATATACACCTGGTACAAATCATAGCTTGTGTTCTTTGTCCCTGACCATACACTGATATTGAAAGAGGTACTATCTAGGGGCGCCAGGGTGGCTCAGTCGGTTAAGCATCTGCCTTCAGTTCGGGTCCA